GTGGGAAATCATGGCAGGGTTATAAAATAAAAAGGTAGTTCAGAAATTTCACCTAATAATCACAGATGTTAAAAAGTCCAACTTAATAATATCTAATTTAACAATTTAAACGGACTTAAATGCAGTATGATCTGACATCGGACATCATAAACTATTTAATTTCTAAGTAAGGTTATCATAATTTCCTTTACACATTCTCTTTTTAATGCTGAAATATTTGTGTGTGAATAAAAGAGTTATTCCTGCAATAATTCATATAAAAAACATAAACAAATTGAATAATAAAGCTTGGCAAATACAATCGATTGCCGCCGATACCTGTGTTACACCATGGATTTTACCAGTGTTTACAATTTTTACCATGACACCGCTTCCAATATGGCCGCTTTCAATAATTTTCAACGATTAAAAAAATTAAAAGAGGAATATTTAGACTTCTGTTCGACTTTGAAGTATGATAATTTGGAACCTTCCATAAAAAACGATTCTCTTTCAGGTAATGTAGACCGTTTCTTTGAAACTTTTCTAGTTTTCGCTCCCAACAACTTCTAATTGGGAAGCGTCCGTGCATAAAAATGCAGTTCGTGGTTGGACTTGGAAAAAGACAGCGCCCGTCCAAAATTATCTCGGTGTCTCTTTGACAAGTCTAATTAGTTGGACTACGTTTATTTTAGCAACATAAATTATTAATTACCTATGTCGTTCATTAAAGCAAAAGTATTGGTGGTAAAAATTTCTATTATCAAAAGGCGTAATAAAGGCATTTAGTCACTAAAACTTTATTTTCTCTCCAAGAAGCAGACACGTATAGGAGGGGAATTACTACGGTGTTTATATCTTGCTTTAATTAATTAAGAATTGTGAGAGATTTCATATCGATATTTTAATACACCCATGCGCGTATATGTTAAACAAATACCCCACCTTCCATGCCCGAAGTGCGCCAGTTTTTTTATGGCATATAGGAGAAAAACGAGTAATATCAAATTAATGTTTTCACTCACAATGATTTGCCAAAACTGGTTCACATATTATTAAACAAAGCTTAGAACAATCTGTTGATGGTATTTTCCGGACATAAAGTAATTCGCAACTTCCGTGAATGAACAAAGTGTTGTGACCAAGAGCTAGTTTGTTATTTAAGTTGTACTATCATACTGTCCTTATAGAGCATAAATGTATTGTATGGTCACATGATGGCATAAAAAACGTTAAAACTGAATATGAAAATGTGGGCATAATATTATACAAATGTGTAAATATATCGGCCATTTTGCGTAAATACATAAGAAGTAAACCTTAATATACACAGAAAATGAACTTGATTGCAATATATATTTGATTAATCATTGTTTCCAGAGGTCGGAATCACATGCACCCATTTGTATGAATGTAAAACACGCCTTGATTCGCCTCCTCATGCCGATCTGTTAACTTCTTTTAGGAACTTCACCTAAGTCTTAAAGTATAAAACATAGTTTTGAATTTATAGGTAAGAACAGCTTGGACGATATGCTAAAAATAATTAAGATATATGCTCAGAAACTAGTTGAAAATTGATTTTTGTGCTATTCTTATCCCGATTTGGGTGAAAAGCGTTGCAACGCCTTTCAATTTTGGGTCATTAAAGAAAAAAATAAATAAAACAAGTGAGTGAATGACCTGCAATTTTGAACTCAAGTTATTGGTCTAGGTCTACATGAAATAGAACTGTAATTTTGAGAAAAAAATATCTCCTAGTAAAAAATTTCAGTGGAGTGCTATATGGTTATTTTTTCTAAATTGCTAATTGTTATTTCAACATATTTGTATTTTGCAGAACTGGTGGTACAGGCGGCATGAATTGGTCAGTTTAGTTTATTTTATCCAAGTTAAATGTCTTTGACTAGATATTTACACGTTGACAAGTAATTCCAATGCACAAAACTATTAATTATGGGCGTTTTGCTGAATGTTATTGTATTATTTCGTGAACTGCATTCGTAAAAAAGAAACTGATATCAGGTAAATAACCCAACCATTGTTTTAGAGAAATAGAAAGTTATAATTGCAAGGTTAAAATACTCTTCTTATTGGTATTTACGTATTGGAACAGAGAGAGACAAAAACAAAGTGTTGGAGCACCAAACTAAATACCGTATCCCGGTATATACCGGACAAGGCGCTTGAATGAAAATGCTAAACTCTCGCATTTTTACCCAACGAAATGCACTTTAAAACGTCTAATGCATCTCTTCACACCGATTTATATACAATAATGAATGAAAAATGTAAGAATCGGCGAGAAAAAAAAACACACGACATTTTGTACTTTGTGATCATGATTTCTGCAAGAGTCCAGAGGTAATGCTCCAATAAATCCATATATATCTTCTGAAAATATCTATATTTCATTTCAGCCGGCTGACAAATATTAAGAGGATATTTTTTCGTTTGAATGAAATATGGAATATATTTTCACGAAACATGATAAAATGCCACATATTTTCACTCGCCGTCTCGGCTCGTGAAAATATGCGGTATTTTATCATGTTGAGATATTGGTGTTCGGATTTTTTTCTTAGTTAGACCATTTTCTATCATTCTAGATAGTTTTCAAAACAAAATTCAACAAAAGTTGTTTTGAATTTTCAGATTTTTCAAATAAAATGGCGAAAGAAGTCCCTTAAAATAAATATGAGTTTTGACTCCGCCCACTTTCATATTTATATTTCATATTTATTTTTAAAAAAATATGAAATATATTTGACTGATATAGCACTATATTTAATGGGTAGAATTAAATAATGGTATATCTTCTTACTATCATCTGTTATCATATTTCAAACCATTACGACGGTATAAATGTATTTCACGTTTTACCGACTGCAGCTCCGACACAACATCCGCCGAGTACAAGACCATATACCGGAAGTACGGTGACGTGGGTAACTATAATTAGTTCAACAATAACGCCACCGCCATCAGCGTTCCCGTTTCAACTTAAGCCGCATTGAAGACAATTTATCAATTTTATTGCTATTCATATTATATTTATGGATACATAGTACCAACAGCAAGTATATATATAATTTAAGATTAAAGAAGAGGATTTTTGTCATGTGAATATTCAATGCTTTATTAAAGATACACAGTACGTGGTACACATGATGTGACAAAGTTCTACGTAAAACGCATCATGGTAGCAATCTTTCTTTATGAACTGTTCTTCAGCTAAATGAATAGAAACTGATTGTTTTAGATAAAAGTGAACTATTTAAATACTAGACTGTATGATGTTATGTATATGTGCGTATGTTGAAAATTAATTATTTGTAAATGATTGTTTTCTTCGAATATGTTTTGTTGGAAATAAAAAAAAAATGTTTTTTAGTCATAAGTTTGTCATTGTATAGCTTACAAATTAATGTTTAAACTTGAAGTTAAGGTTGGTTTACACAGAAATTATTATAGTTCAATTTTGCAGGAAGCTATAAGCCTATTGACACACCTGGAATTAACCAGTACTGGGCATGAGTGTAAAGTTTCTTGCTCAAGCAAACAACGGCTTGCTCATATAATATTAGTTATGCTCGGCAGAGGCTCGCCGTAGCGCCCTTTAATAAGTCCGTCTCAGCCATTGCTACAAAACTGTGATTGGCTCTTATTTCATATTGTTAATGCAATGAAAAGTTTGTAATTTATTATGAAACAAGCAAGGATATGGTTTAATTGAAATAAAGAATGAACAATAACGCACACTTCTATTTACAACAACTATGATGCAGGTTACGCTAGTTAACATGCCATGCACATTGTCCAACAAATTGCAAAATGTACGAGAGGCATATTCTAACTAGTGGCAACAACTCAATTCAAAAATGATCTGCACGTGAAAAGTACATGACATTGTATAATATATATACTGTTGGAAAGATTATTGTTTTTTCTTACCATCAGTCTTTTGTCGCACAATTTGCACGTGCAATAAAATTAAATACATGTGGATTTGTATATGGCTGAGTTGCATTGTGATTTCAAAGAGGATCACATAGCTTATTATTAAGAAAGTTTCTCACTTATGATATTTGTCGGACCAGAGTGTTTCAAATATACAGTTTTAAGCATTTGTAAGCCATCTGTGTTTATAATTTGTTAAGTTTGGCCAAAAATAGAAATATGTTTTTTTTCCCATTCCCGATCCATTCTGACAAATGAGGGGGCAAAATATTAGTCCTAAATCTGACTTTCATTCAAATTATCTGTCATGTTTAGATATATATTTTAACAAATGTTCTATATTTTTCAACATTAAAACTTATTATTACATGTTTTGCAGTAGATTACTGAATTATAACGGTTAATTATATTCTGATAATTTCACAGTAATGATTACCAAATATAATTTCACAGTAGCCGAACTATATTTGGCGTAAAAATAAAATATTTATCATTAATGAATGTTTTTTTCAGCGGAAATGTAGTCAATCATAATAAAAAATGTACGTGATAACTGTAGTTCGTAAATATTTACGAACGTTGTGCTGAAAAACATCTAAAATCTAAAAATAATCATGGAATTATATTTTGCTTCAACATTGTGACGTCATTATTTGATGACGTCATGAAGATAAGAGCATGACGTTACGCGGCAAAAATCAGTAAAATGGTGTTAAAATCGTTAAAAAAATCATGAAATAAACAGAAAATTTGTTTGTTTTACATGTAAGATCAAATAATATTTCACTCGTGAACCCCAGCTATTATATTTTCACTCGTGGCTACGCCACTCGTGGAAAATATTGCATCTGGTGTTCACTCGGTGAAATATTTTTCGATCTTACACTGAAACAAACAAATATCCTCTATTTAATTTTTGTTTTGAAGATTAAAAAAATAATGAAAACTGAAAGTTATAGGAGAATAGTAATTTCCATTGCAACGCAGTTTACTATTTCGTCGCGAAATAAACGTCGTGATAATCTGAGCACATATTTCGATGACGTCAGATGACGTTGACGTTAAAATAACGTCATTTCATAGCAACCGCACCATAGAGCAAAGCTAGAAAGACGCATTCTTTTATTAAGAAGACATTTTTACATTTACCACGAACACAACAAGAAAAAAATGAGTAGTATCAGCTTGGCAAATGAAAACAAACATCAGACAAATAGTTCAACAGGTTTGTGAATGTTTTTATTACTTTTCACTCCGTGACAAACCAATTTCTTATTTGAATTGTTTCTTCTTGAATGTTACTAATGCTTGGACATTACAGTGTTGTTGAAAATAGTTTTTGGTAATAAAATTTTGTGACAAAGTTTCTACTGTCTTTTCTTTACTAATTTCTTCTGTAAAATTTCAGATAAAACTTTGAACTACGCAGAGATTTTGAAACCAATACCTGTGGAATTAGAAACCTCACCTCTTGGTTCCCTGTCTTCATCAAGTTTAGGGACACAGCACGAATCACGTGATATACTTGACATACAGAAGCTTGCAGACGACATCGCCGATGCTAGAAGAGACAGAATTTCGAGATATATTGATGGTATTTAACTGTTTTGTTTCTTAATAGTTGCATGTTAAAGGAGCTCGCTTACACATTTGTGTTTAATGTTTATAAAAAAAATAAAAAGAATATTTCAAATGTACCAATTTAGTGTAAGGAACTCACTTACTCTCTAAAGAAATTATCTATGGACAGAATGTTCTCCTACTTCGTTAGTAAATGGATAGCATTTTGATGGTGAAATACATGTAGTAAATTCTGTGTCATGACTGATTCATAATACTTCAACGTAGTTTTCTTTACTATTAAATTGGTCTTATCTTGAAATTGAGAGATTATTAAACTCGTCTGCAGTTATGAAGCGTTAACCCTTAAACTGTTGAATCTGAAAGGATTTAGCCTTTGCCACCAGTAAAGAGCCAGGCCACCCAGCTCTACTTGCATGAAATTTTTATATTGATACCCCCCCCCTAAAATTATGGACATTTCTAAAATGAACTCTGGAAAAGTCCATTTAAGAAATTCAGGAGGTTAATGGTTAACTCTGTTCAGTGGTTCTTTGAAATGAAATAAACAAACATATGGTAAATATAAGGTAGAAAATTTGACAACAAAGTGCGTGAATAATGTGTATTTTTTCTTAAATTATAGAAGCTGAGATGAGACAGTATATTCCACTTGTGGAAGCTGACTTTGAGGCCATCAGAGAGACAGATAGACTTCTTGAACAAGCCTACAACTTGTATTTTACACGTAAATATAATTTCTCTCATATAATGATGATGATGATGATTGATGATTGATGATGATGGTGATTATAATAATAATAATGATGATAATAATAATAAACAATTGCGGATATAGAATTCAAAAGTTTAAGTTCCGCGAAATTTCATGTCTTTTTTCTGATGAAGACATATTAAAGTCTAAACCAGTAGAATGTGTTGTCTTGAATTTCTTTTAAAACATACATACCAAAACTAAAATAAAGACAAAGCTCTTCCTATCTCTTTGGCTAATATGTTAAGTTACATTTTAAAAACGTGCAATGACAAAAGATATTTCAAAGTTGAAATGGGATTTGTGAAAAGATTGCAACTGAAAATGAAACAGAATTACATAAGACCTTTTATCTTTTAATCCGGAGAATTACTAATAAAGTATACAGTAAAAGTATTAAAGCATGACATAAAATCATAAATAAAAAAGACATTTTTTTCTGTTTTATTGCATGCTCGTTTTAATTGCTGAAGTATACAAGTATTATACAATAAATATAAATCATGTTAAAAGAAACTTTTTCATTTTATTTTCTAGGTGGCTTGAGCAAAGACCGCAGATTAAAAAAGAAGACTAAGGCCATGATTGCCCGCCTAGAGAGCAAGCCACATTTTTACTGCCCATACGAACGTGAAGAATCAACCGAAATCCATGTCACTCGTTGGTTAAATGCTTACACTGCAAACCCAGAAGAAGAGTTATTTGGCTTCACCTCTAGAGATCCATATGAGCCGAAAAGAGTTGTTCCCGAGGTTGCACCAAGAGCCGTTATCAGTGATACTAACGTGGTCCTTGGAAAACGCAAGAGAGCAAGAGATGATGAGCAAGATTTAGTCGGCGTGAGCATGAGCAGTTCTGACTCCAGGTTGTTTTGTGAGCATGGAAATAGGCCAAAGAAAGTCAGAAAATCTCTATAAATGTTTTTTTTTATTCCGCATTATTTTTTTTCCATTTATCGATAATCATGTTTAAAACGAAATCATTTTTAAATATCTCAATAAAATGAGATTTAACTTCAAAAATGAGTTGTTATCAATGCTATCAGTAGATATACATGTAGTGTCTATTTATGGTTCTATTTATACCATCAATTGATAGAGAAAACAATGACGAGGACTCAGATGCATACCACAAAAAAAATCAAGTCAAACTCGAGAAAAATGTACGAAGATTATAGGATAAGTAAAACTATTCAAGATTCGGATAATAATTACCATGTTTTTGCCGATTAATGACTAATTTTGTATATTTATCACCATATTCCTACTGCGTGACTAACGCAGTAAGGGTTATTTTGCATATTTTGACCACTTTTTTATTAATTTACATTGATTATAAATAGCGCCAGAAATGTGTAAATTACTTTCTATGTTCATTCCACTCTTTGTACTTTTAAAAGCATTTTCAAAATTTTCATGAAAATAAGGATAACTTTTTAGGCATGCAGTTTTAAGAATGAAATTGCTACATAGGACATTATACGTATATACAAGCATATTTCATGAAATGAAAGTGACCAAAAGCGGACCAAACCCAAACGGCAAGTCAAACAAGCTTCAAACTTACTTCATTTATAAGACTTAAATCTTTTGACCTAAAATCTAAAACCCATATGCCGGATATAATAATAATAATAATAATAATAATAATAATAATAATAATGATAATAATAGTACTAGTAATAATAATAATAATAATAATAATAATAATAATAATAATAATAATATGATGATGATGATGATGATGATGATGATGATGATGATTAAAACAAATAATATATCTTGATTTTAGATGTGGCTTTCTGAACATTGTATAAAAAGAACTAAAAGAAAGAAAAAAAACACCCAAAAAACAACATCATCAAGCAACAGTAACAGCAACCATTCCATTGAGACATCGTACAACAAACAATTTGTTTGATGCATACATGATACATGCATACCGAATTGTGTAAAACGATTGTCCACGTACAAAACAGTGTTTACAAAACAAGAGGTCGTAAACAAATCAAGACTTTTAGTTCATTTTAAACATAAGCGTCTAAAGCAACCCTTGTTTAAGTTAAAGTCATTAATCAATATCGAAAATGTTAAAAGCATATAGCGGAGCACGAATGTACGGTATGGGACATTACCTTGGAAATTTTTATATAAAATGTCATATGTAATTGATCAATTGTATTCAATAATATTGCATAAAGACTGGTGAGGCAACTTGTAAAGCATATATGAGTTTAGTTCTGCCAAAGGGCTAAAAGTATCCCACAAAAATGCTTTATTCGATGTTGTTTTGAAGGTACCTATATTCTCACGTATACCAAATTCGCAAATTCCCTTCTCGGTTGAAAACTATTATTGAAATTTCATCATAAAAAGAATACGAGAATAGTTTTATAAAGTCCTGAATTTCATTTTGTTATGTTTGGTAAAAGATTTTTTTTTGCTCTTTTTGTTTATAAGGAACATCTTAGTAGTCTGTATTAATTATTCAAAGTACAGAACCTCCTCCGTGGTCGATGGGTTAGAGTTGATGACTTCTAATCCAGTTACCTCTCTGGCGTGGGTTCGATCCCCGCGAGATGCTTTGGTAGTTTAGCGCGGAAGAAGGTAGTCTAGTGCTGGTGTAACTCTCCAGGAACGATGGTTAGGAAACTACCCGCCTATATGACTGAAATCCTGTTGGGAAAAGGCGTAAAATGAAACAAACAAACAAACAAATCAGAGTACAGAAGTACAGTAGTACAAACGGGTTATCTGAACTTTATATTTAACTCACACAACACGTTATTAAGTATGTGTTTTGCGCAAAACAATGCTGTCAGTTTCATTAAAATAGACAGTTAATTATAGTCCTCACTGCTTTCAGGAATGATAATAAACTTTTGGTAAATATTGAAAAACGCCAAAAAATGTAAAATTGCAGGCTCGGTTTCATTGAGCCTCTTCACAGACGGAAGTGGCAAGTGCAATTCAGCGCAAGCTACCCCATCACACGTCCCCTAGTACCACCGGCTTAAGCACTATTCAACATTTACACATGACGATGAAGAAACTTGAAATTATATGTTTTTATTGGTCGTGATCATAGAAAAATATCTGCCCTAAACAAGAAAACAACATGGGCGTAAAAACTGACTGGAAGTATGCAATGGGATTAGAGGTTATGAAGCATGCATGTCACAGACAGACGATAAAAGAAATTTTAATATACAGGCAAACATATTTATTAAGGGTAATTCAACATTATTCAAGTAGGAATAATGGGATTGTTCATGGCCAAACTTTTTTGTTGTTTTTTGTTTGTTTGTTTTTTTTTGGGATAGGAGGGGGTTGTTTTGTTGTTGTTGTTGCTTTTAAATCGTTTGTAAAAAAGTGAAATTACACATAAGAAGCCAATTTATTATTGTTAACAAACATTTTCATATGTACCAAAGAACCTCATGAAAAAGTATGGGATAGTCTGTAAAAAGGTTTGGAAAGGATATTTCATGTCTGTGTTTATTTTAGAAACATAAATTATTTATTGCCTATGTTGTTCATTAAAGCATAAGTACACTTCATATCGCTGTTGGTGGGTAATATTCTATTTCAAAAGGCGAAGATTCAGTCACTTAACTTTATTTCTCTCCAAAAAGAGCAGGCACGTATAGGAGGGAATAATACGGGTGTTTAATTTGTTTAAATTAATTAAAGAATGTTTGAGCACGATTTCATATCGATATTTAAATAACACCATCGGCGCGTGATGTTAAACCAAATACCACTCCATGACGAGTGCGGCCAGGTATGACATATAGGAGAAAACAAGAATATCAATGAATTGTTTACACTGCACAATGATTGGCCAAAACTGGGTTCACAATAATTAGTAAAAAAAGCTTGAACAATATTGACTCGAGTCTAGCCATCTGTTTAATTATTTATTTATACTCAACGAACCCTGTTATATTTATTATATTTTTAATTGAGACAAAAGCCATCTTGTTCTATGTGGATTGAACTTGATTAAACCCTGGAGGAGCCGTCTGTTCTAAGAAAATTGATTATTATCTATTATTACTGACGAGACATTTAATTAATAAAGCGTAGTTTGTAAAGACGCAGAAATGTATGTCTGATTACTAGAACATTCAATTAACCAACCAGACAACAGGAAATTTCCTTTCTTTTGTCTGGAGCTAATGGTTGACCTATACGACAACAGCTGTGTTTATCAAAAAAGTTAATAAAAATTAAACAACATAAATTGACATACGTCAGATGAAAAGACTTAAATTATTTTTTTATCCAAAGTGCAGAAAGCCTAAAAAAATGCTTTGTATTTCTTTGTTGACAGAACATTGTAAATATAATATACATGAAAATTTAAAGGCCTGTTTTTACAGAAACTTTTTGTGTAAAGAAGAATGTATTTGTTAAACACAAATGTCCTCGGTCCAGATACTTGTCATTAAAAAAAGTTTGCCCATCTAATCAATTTTGGAATAAAACATTGCTTAAAAATGTTGTTAACACAGTTTACAGAGTCTGGACATTTTGATATTGAAAAAGATGATATGTCATTATTACTTGATGAAGTAGGGAAAATATTCAACTTACCAATAAATGTTAGATAAAAAAGCCTTGACGTTGAATCTAGTGATCAAAAACTCCACTCAGAAATTGAATTACCACCTAAGGTATGTTCCTCGCAATTCCGAGAATTGTTAGAAAAGGTGACATTGGGCTTGTGATTCCAACTCTGGGTCATCCTTTTCGAATATTTTCTTACGATTTTCAAAATATTGGTATTGTTTCCGTAAAAAGAGTTCATAAATATATCAAGACAATAAATTTGAACCCATCACAACAGCATGTACACTTCAAAACCTATCAAAATTCGTAAATGGTTCATTTCATAACACCATATGTTAGCGGGTTCAATAGAAGATGGTGCTAGAAATCATAGTTTTACCGTTTGATTGAACTCCTCGCAGTTTTACTTCGTCCATGATATTGGCGATATGGATGTTCATATGAACCTACACTAAACTGAACCATCATCTACATACAGAACATTGAAACACAATGAAATGAATTAGAAGTATGAAAGACCGGTAGGAACATTTCAATATCATTAATTCCCGATTTCATCTTTGTGAATTCACAATGTTCTCTTCGTGAATTTACGATTTTAACTTTACATGAAATCCCATGAATTCACGAAGATAAAACTGGAAATTCATGAAGTTGAAATGTCCCCACCGGCCTTTATTACAGACGGCTTCTGTTTTGTTTTTTCGAGTTTGTTCCATCCAATACACTGTACGCGTGTGGAAGGTGACATGCTCTTTTAAACTGACTATACCCGCAACATGTTTCATGTCACGTGCCACCATACCTCATTGGATGTTTTTATCAAATAAGATACATTGAAAATTGCATTTCTTACCAAAAGTTGCTAGTATTTATCAATAGTATCTTGTTATATTTTAATTTCTATTACCCTGGTTCAATAAAACACCTTAGCATTGTTTATACAAATACAATTACTACGGGTTGTACATGTATTGATAAATTATTGCGAAAAAGACGATATGTCCTAGATACCGCGTCATGGACGCTGCGGTTAATCAGATACAAACAGAAATGGTCCGAACAGTACATCAGCAAATACATATGTAGTTTTAACTGTAATACTTCAGAAATCAGTACATTTACATTGGAAGGAAAAATGTTTATATGACTAATACATTGTTTTGTATTTTCGAGCAGCACCACGAGACTGTTTCCAAATTTAATTCATTACCTTCTGTAGAAAACATTTTTATAAAACATTAAAACAAGAACTATAAGTTTTATGCACTGTTTTTTATGTTCTGTTCTTCCGTTTACAAAATGTTTTTCGGCAGTAAAAAGGAAATGGAAAATGGGGGTGTTTTAAAAATTTTTTCCCAAAGGGAAAATAAAAGAAATTTTTACGATAAATTCACCCCTGTTTCAAACAAAAAAAATATGGGAAAAAAATTTCCCCTCAAAAAAAGTTATAAATATCCGCCAAAGCTAAAATAAATGCAATGAAAAA